CCAAATTTGCTGGCAAATGGAGTGCAGCACTTTAACAGCATCATCTTCTAAGACTTTGAATAATTCAGCTGGAATACCATCACCTCCACTAGCTTTGTTGTTACTAATGCTTTCTAAGGCCCATTTAACTTCACATTCCAGGATGTCTGGCTCGAGGTCAGTGATTATACCATCGTGGTTGTCAAGGACATCGAGGTCTTTCTTGTATAGTTCTTCTGTGTATTCTTGCCATCTTTTCCTAATCTCTTCTGCTTCTGTTAGGTCCCTACCGTTTTTGTCCTTTATCATGGCCATCTTTGCGTGGAACGCTCCCTTGATTTCTCCAATTTTCTTGAAGAGATCTCTAGTCCTTCCCATTCTATTGTTTTCTTCTATTACTTTGCACTGTTCATTCAGGAAGGCCTCCTTATCTCTCCTTGCTGTTCTCTGGAAATCTGCATTCAGTTGGGTAAATCTTTCCTTTTCGCCTTTGCCTTTCGCTTTCCTTCTTTCCTCTGCTATTTGTAAAGCCTCATCAGAAAGCCACTTTGCTTTCTTGCATTTCTTTTTCTTTCGGATGGTGGTGATTGCTGCTTCCTGTACAATGTCACGAACCTCTGTCCATAGTTCTTCAGGCACTATGAGGGGATTACAATTGCTTTATTTGGAATTGATAGTTTCCTACCTGTAGGCTTTTTTCAGCACAGACGTCTATATCTGACTTTACTATTACCCAACTTAGTGGGCCTATTTGGACATTTTCATTATAAAAATTAAATGCCCTGACCTGGATGGAGCATGGACTCTAACCTGGGAAAACTGGGTTTGATTCTCCATGAGGACGCATCAAACGGGCACGATCATACTGCAACATCTGGGAAGCGTCACGCACCCGTCCCCGATCTGTCCCGTCGGTCTGAAAACGCGCATTGAAAGGTACTGGCAACAGAGCACTACCTTCTGGATGACACATGGCAACTCCAGGCGTCTGATCGTGGAAGCGCTGGTAGCCCGTCGCAGCCAGCGCCATTCCCCATCCCACGCATGTGCACAAACGCACAACGTCCATTTTGCCGCATTATGTTTGATTGCCTGCCGAAGGCCGGAGCACGGAGCCACAGGGACACGTTGGATCATGCTACCGCGGTTCTTTTTGCTCCGGTTCTAATTTGCCTCCCTTCAGCGGTGCAGTATCCCGCTCGTGTGACCGGGACCACAGTAAATCAACAAAGCATTATACCATCCATCTTTGTTACATAGATAATTAAAGGAGACCAATTACATGAGTCCCTAAGATTTCTTACCCCCAAAACAAGCAGGTCACAGGCAAGGAACGCTTTCTAAGAAGAAGCTCTCAGTCAATACAACTTCCCATATTTATAGGATTTTAAAATCATCTAACAATCATCTCTTAATCAATCCCACCTGATGAGGGTCACATTCTTGGCTAGTTCATTATAACTTCAAACTCCATACAAGGTTATGTATATTTGAACAGCTTCTTAGAATATACAAGAAATGTTAGTTGATTCTTGCTACTTTTTAACTTAGCAAAGTCTATTTTAAAACAATAATGAGAAATTGTCACATGTGTATGAATATCTTTTGGCCCTCAACCAATATTCCCATCCTTGAATCATATCTTCACTTCTGTGAAGCTGGACATTCTTGTGATTCTCAGGGGATTCTGCACTTGGGCTTCAACAAATAGTATCTACTGATAATGGGTTAGACAGCTTCTAATCTATACAGGGATGTATAATTGTTGCCACTCTGTCTTCTTATTTCCCTTCAAGGCTATTATGTTATGAGTCTTGGTATATTTTCCTGAGACGCCTGGTTTGTTCTGTTTATATGTGCCGCAACATCCTCTATGATCTTTTTTGGTCACCCAACAACTGTTTTCCTGTATTTCTGGCCATATCCATGACACATTCCTCCAAAGAGCTCAGGGAAGCACTGACCATCTCAATTTTCTCCTCACAACAACCCTAGGAGGTAGGTTAGGCAATGAGAGAATGTCAGACCCAAAATAAGACTTTGAGCCTGGGTCTACCAAGCTGTAGTCCAGTATTCTGTACTATCATACACTGACTCTCATTCTAAACATAATTCTGTAGTTCTTCCAGTCCTATAGGTGAAGATCATAGCCATGGGCAGTGTTCCCTCTAAGCTGAGTTAATGTGAGCCAGCTCACAGTTTTTTAGTCTCCAGCTCACACATTGTTGTCTTAGCTCAGGAAGGAGGGCTCCAGAGCAAACTAATTTATGCAGTCGCCAAATTTCCTGCTCACAGCTTTAATGCCAGTCGCTCACAAAGTAGAACTGTTGCTCACAGGATTCCATATTTTGGAGGGAACATTGGCCATGGGGGGGGGGAGTTTGCAGGTAATTGATGGTCATTGTAATCTAATGAAGAGTTACTCTAATCCCATTTATTTCAAGGAGTTTAGATTGGCATAACGCAGCACAGGATTGTACTGCTAATCTTGCCTTCTTTCCTCAATTACAGGTAAAGGGATGTGTTTCAGTCGATAAATAGGTAAAATAATTGGATTGCCTCTCTCTAGAGGGGTATTGCAGAAGATTTTTCTAATTACATCAGTCCCTGAAACAAAGCTGATAGCAAACTTTTCTTTTTATAAGATATGTGGATTTGGATTATGGGCTGCACAGACCTGGTTTCTCTGTATAGATTACAAAATACAAAACACTACAGAGGGAATGACATCCAACAGACAATGCAGAAAGTAGATTACAAAGGTAGAAGATAATGCAGTAAAAGGATGATGATGATGATAAGAACATTGTAGTAGACTTTGGTATAGTATATGTCTGACTCTTTTATAGGATTGACTATCCATCAGATGTATAGGTTTGATTGGTCTTTGCAGTGTTTCTAACAACAAGAGGTGGCTGATGACCCACAGGCACAAGGTCCATCATCCATATATCTAATTCTTAACATGGCCCCACCTATAGATTAAGACACAGACTGGCACCATGAACAGACACAACCAATCTATCCACAAACTTGAGAAAGCTATAGGTTTGCAGAAAAATTAAAATAAAATACATGGGAGGGGGTTTGAACTCCCATGAAATGAGAAGCGGTGACTGTACCTTTAAGAAATGAATGCTCTCAGTTGCCATGGGAGGGTTGCTAGGCAACCACAACAATATTGCCAGCCTTCTTGGTTTCTTCCAGTAAAAGGTAGGGGGAGGGGACAGGGCCTCTTCTAGGGCTGTTTTGCCCCCCTCCCAGTTCCCCTCCTTCCTGCCCATGATCAAGGATGGACTCTTCAGGGTCAAGCACAGCAGCAACTACCAGACAACTTGATTCCATGCAACTTGCCCAGATGTGGCGGCTATGACATGCTGCTCCTCAACTTTCCTTAGGGTTGCCAACCTTCAGGTGGGGCCTGGAGATATTTTGGAATTACAACTCATCTCTAGACCAGAGAGGTTAGTTGCCCTGGAGGAAATGCCTGCCCTGGAGGGTGGACTCTATGACATTGTACCCTGGTGAAGTCCATCCTCTCCCCCAAACCTGCCCTATCCAGGCTCTACCTCTAAATCTCCAGGAATTTCCCAACCTGGTGCTGGCAGCTCTATTGCCTGGCCCACCAGCAGCTTCCACACAACTTGCATGATTTGCCTTGGCCCAGCAGTGGCCACCATTCAGCTCACTTGAGCAACTTGCTACTGCTTGACTTTTGCTACTTATCCAGACTTTTCTTAGGGGAAGGGAAGTCAGGCAGGCTATGAACCAGTGTAGTGTAACAGTTTGACCTGGAAGAGCCAGATGTGAATCCTTACTCTGCCATGGAGCTTGCTGTGTGACATTAGGCCAGTGACTCTCTCTCAGTGTAACCTACCTTAAAGGTTGTTGTACAGATACAACAGAGGTGAACAATGCAAGCTTATTTTACGTCCCCATTGAAGATAAAGGTGGGGTATAAATGAATAATAAAGTTGAAGAAGTGGGGTGCAGATAAAAGCAAGCAGATTGGTTGGTGAGTAGGAGAGAAGGAATTGGGGGAAAAGGGAGAGCATTGAGGAGGGATGCCAGGAACCTGGAAAGAAAGAGAAAATGGTGTGGGAAAGGGTTTACAGGGACAAAATGCAGTGACTCCCCACAAGTTGTTGCAGATTCCCAACTTGGATGGATATAGTACCCACATGCAAAACCCAAAGAGTTTCTGTGGTCATGTGGCCGGCATGACTAAACACCAAGGCACATGGAACGCTGTTACCTTCCCACCGAAGTGGTACCTATTTATCTACTTGCAATTTCTTGCTTTCGAACTGCTAGGTTGGCAGGAGCTGGAACTAGAGACGGGAGCTCACTCCATCACGCGGGTCTCGAACTGCTGAACTACTGACCTTTCACAGCCTGCAGTTCAGCGTCTTAACCACCGCACATTTAACAGGCTGTTAACACTTCAATAAAAAGACAAAGTACTGCCTTTATGTCATTTTTTTTGTTTTTTGCTTGGTGCGTGTATGTGTGGGTGGGGTGTCCGTGGGTATTCTGATATTGTTGTGTACTTTGTAGGCAGTAGCAGATTTTAAAGTTAAGAACCGCTGTGTCTGAATAAAAACTTGCTAGGAGCCTCAGGATTCCTGTTCGTGTTCTTCACTGCCAGTCGGCTACAGCTTGCAAACGAAACAGGCTCAAATTCCCATGTGACGCCTGTCTGGCTTCGGACCAATGACTGGGGCAAACGTGAGGCACTACTACATACGTTGGCAAACAAAACAAGGGTCCAGTGGCACTTGAAAGGCTAACACAATTTATTCCATCGTAAGCTTTCGAAAATTCTCGCTGTCCTCTCCTTGCACGTTTGGTTGCCGTTTGGCGGACCACAGCATCCTTAAAAGAGAGCGCTCTACCAGGAAGACTACACTTCCCAACATGCATCCCGACCGGCCTCCAACAAACCGCCGCACAATTGGGCGCTGCTTCACAAGATCGAGTGGAGTGAAGAGTGTAGCTCTTGACTTCTGCACCACACCGTGTAAAGGGACGTGGGCTGGGGTGATTCTTTTGGTACTATGGGGGGCAATGAGAGTAGTCTGGGTAGCAGGAAGGTCTCCTTCGAGCTGGACGAGCACGAGCGAGTGCGGGTATTGCAGGGTATCAGGGTAAGTAAGTAGGGATGAGAAACGGAGCTGGGAAGGGAGATTAGCGGGCATCCTACAGGGGTCCAGGACAGTGTGGGGCTGGCGTTCGAAAAGCAGCGATTACAACATCTGTGCTTGAGGAATGCTGGGGGAGGGCACTATATTTGGGGAGTAGAGGACTGAAGCGATCTTGTGACTATGTTTGTTTTACTCAGGAACAAAAAACCTCCCTGTCCCCAAGCTTTTAAATGTATTTACCTACTTTAAAATAATCCTCAGCCTTTTCAGTATTGGATATTTATTATGGCAATAAATCTGTTCACTCATGACCAGAACTCTTGATTATTTTTAATAGGAGACCATCGTGGTTTAGGAAAGGCCTGATGCCAAATTAGATCGCCTGATGGCTTTATTGCTAATGCAGATCTACAGCCTGAAGTTTGCAATGCACTTCCCTGCTCTGTGAGCAAAGGCCTTTCAGTGGCCCCACCCTGCTGATGTGGAACTAAATCTCTATATGACCTGGTTCAAAACGTCATATAACTGAATTTGGATTTGAAATTCGGGTCTATATCCAAAACAGTATTCATTATGTTTAGAAGGTAACCAAGGAAAGAAAGCTGACTCAGATTTAAGTTTGTTAAGATAAAAGTTTAAGAAGTGATGGACCAGTAGAGAGAGCCCTTGCTGCGCTTTGCAGTTTTGTAGCACTAGGGATGTTTTGCATTAGAGTATTCATTTATCAGTGAAATAAATGATTGGAATTCTCAAAATAATGCAAACATAGGGAATGGGAGAGAACACTGTCATGTTGTCACTAAATGCAGTTGACACCCCTACAAGTATACTCCATATGGCTATCATAATAGCAATTCATGTACTATCTGGAGAAAGCATTTAATTGTCCAACTGACCTTCCTGTATAATTAGATCTAGCACTGGATGTGCAATGTAGTACTAGATCTGATTAGGTCTTGAGCTCCTACTGTCAAAGAGATTAGTCTGTAACCAATACTTTTTTATTTTGCTAGGCTCCAGCAAGATGTTTAGTGATAATGATACATCTGTCTGCATTGTTGTGTACCAGTATTAACATAATGGCAAACACCAACTGGCAAATCAATCATTAATCCCTGTAGGGTTTACATTTGCCCATTTTGGGCAGTATTTGTAAAAGTAAAGAATGATTTGGATTTAAACAATATTATTTGCTTGTTAATTGATTAATATCCACTTCTCTGCATTCAGCACAATAATACTAGCTAAGGGAAAATGTTTAAACGCTTAGTCAGCTCCTTGTATATAGTAGATGACTCTGAAGCATAAAAAGCTGGACAGTGTTCCAGGTACTACTTACAGGAGGAGGAGGAGGAGGAGGAGGAAGTAGAATAAATAGAGGAATAAAAGAAGTAGTGAAAACAGCAGAGAAAAGGGCAGGAGAAAGGCAGAGAGAGGGAAAATCAGCTTAATGGGAGCAAGATATTCTTTATTAGTCACCATTTTTTGGTCACGAAACAGTGTTGAGTACCAATTTTAATACCTTTTTATAATGTGCTATCCCCTTGGGATTTCTGATCTCCTTGTGTTACCCCATACTAGAGTTGCCAGGTCCCCTTTGGCCACGAGCAGGGGATGGCGGGGTAGGAATGCCAGATCTGGGCTTGGAAACTCCTGGAGATTTGAGGGTGGAACTTCCTACCACGGGATGTGATCATGGCTGCCAGCTTGGAAGGCTTTAAAAGGGGAGTGGACAAATTCATGGAGGACTGGGCTATCAATGGCTAGTAATCCTGATGAATATGTACCCTCTCTAGTATCAGGGGTAGTATGCCTCTTTAAATCAGTTGCTGGGGAGCACAGGAAGGATGATGCTGTTGCAGTCTTCCTGTTGGTGGGCTTCCTAGATGTAGCTGGTTGGCTGCGGTGCGAACAGAATGCTGGACTAGATGGGCCTTTGATCTGGTCCAACATGGCTCTTCCTATGTTCTTAATCCTGTCGCTGTGTGTACACATGCGCGCATACACACACATTTCCTGATATGCTTCAGCTTACAGAAAGGAGTGGGGTTTTTTTGGGGGGGGGGAGAAAGACTATATAAAAATAAGAACTATGAATTTGTCATTCTATTCTGGGGAAACTGGCCAACTCACAGTCACCCTGCAGTCGTCATCACCATCATCTCTAACAAGCGATGTCTCTGTCTCTGCTGCCCTGCTTACAGAGATCTTTTAGCTACCATTTGTATATTTATCCTCTGCTGGTATACATATGTGTGTTAACACTTCATTGTATAGTTGTAGTCTGTATTATTAGGGTAACCCACTGGCCTTACAACCAGGGTTTAAAATGCAACTTATATGGGCCATTGTAGCACAGTTAAAACATGTATGATTAGGCCTTATGCTTTGAAATGTACCATTGTGAGACAGTCTGGGCAATGTGTCATCCTCTCAACTTGTCCAGGGTACTTAAAACAGCAGCGGAAAATCTGCCATGTAGTGGATGGCATGGCATACCCGCCAAATGGTCCTCAGAACAATATCAAGGGAGCTTCTTTAAAATCAGTGTTTGGTAGACTTAGAGATGAGTTCAAAAAAATGGTACATTTTTGAGTGTTGAAATGAGCAACCAAACTGGGTAGTGGCATGAATGGCTTCCTAAATGTTATGATCAAAATGGACCCACTAAAAGTCAGGAATAAGCAGGTTTGCCAACCTCCAGGTGGGGCCTGGAGATTTTCCAGAATTACAACTGATGACCAGACCATAGACATCCGTTCCCCTGGAGAAAGTGGGTGGTTTGGATGGTGGACTCTATAGCATTACACGAAGCTTAAGCCATTTCCCTCCCTGCACCCTGCAGTATCCCAGGATCTACCCCCCCCCAATCTTCAGGAATCCCCCCACCTGGAGTTGGCAACCCTGAAAGCATTAGACTTTGATCTAGCGGAGAGCATTAAGAGAGGGCATCTTAAGGAAGAGGCTGTCTGAAGAGTGTAAATAGTGCAGAGGAATACACTGGGAAATGCAGTTTAATATGTATGAGGGTCCTAGGTAATAACCAGTATTTTGAATTGCCCTCAGAAGCAACTGAGTAGCCGGTGCAGTTGGTGTAGTGACCTGGGTTCAAGCCACATCTCTAAAAGAGAATAATTGCATTACTTTCTGCATGTTGGTTCTTTGATTTGAACACATGGTAAAATATGGTTTGCTCCTGGGTAATACTTGGACTTCTCCTATGTGTGGTCAGTCAGTTAGAGACATATATTGCAGAAAGTCACAGTTTGCTGCTAGGTCTGAGCTGCCTGGCATGCTCTGTTTTCTGCTTTGCATACCAACCAGGATTCCATTTTGGAATTTGGGAATTCTGTTTTGAATGTAATGGTGAACTATGGCTTGGTGCAAACCTAATTACCTTTTGCAAGAGAAGGAAAGAGGTCATGAGCATGTGGATCCCAAAGGCTCATTCACATAGTGGTAAACCATGGTTTGATCTTATACCTGGTCCTGTCAACCTCCGTGTCCCATGTAAATTGAGAACGATAACAGCAGCCTAATTCTTATGGTTGTGAGAACAAATATTTGGAAGTATTTTGTAAGCGAAAAGGTCTTCCAATATATGCTGTTCAAATTAGATTGTTTTCCATCTTGTTTTCCTTGGTTATACGAGGATAGATCTAGTAATCATCTGTGCCTGTGCTAAGAACAGCCATGAATTCACTTTTGCAGTTTGACTTGAATTACTGTATTCACCGTGTGCATGTATGTGCTGGTTGGTCTGGGCCTTTTCATATATGGTGGTTCTCCCAGTACGAACACACCATGGTGACTGGAAAACCCAAACAACGTGCTTCTGTTGTGCAGCCTTTTGCTGTTTGAACATAAATATGTTTGTAGCTGAAGCTGCTGGTAAATAGCAGTAACTGCCCCTGATTATTCAGTGGGGAAACTGTTGGAAAAAGTGGCTGTGCTAAAGTCATGAGTACCTATCAAATGGTGGCCCTGAAATTCTTTCCGGTGCATGCCCAAGGTGTTTGTATCTGGTACCACCACTCCTTCTCTGTAGTTTTTACCTTTTAATTCTTAAATATTTCTTCAGTGGCTTTGCAGTCTTTCAATCCCTCCTCAGCATGAATGATGCCGAAACTACTGCGGGGGGTCTTGTGGCCAGCTGTTTCCCTCTTCCCGCTCCGTCCTCTTCCTTTCTTCCCTTTCCATTCAACCTTGCCTTGTCTCGCATGGCTCTGGGGCAATCCTTTGCCCTACCTGCCCCTTCTTGTGTTTTTAGTGGCTTCGACTTGTTGGCCAGGAGCAGAGGACAGGCAAAATGCACATCTGAGACTGATGCACAGAGGTTCTGGGATAAATATAGGGTGTGGCACAGGTAAATACGTACTTTGTTCTCTCTGCCATGTGTAAGGTCTACACTGGCTCTCTGCTCGGCTCTTCCTCTGGTGCTGACTGCCTCCTCCGTTGTTCTCTTGTCCTTGCAAAGAGGTGACTGGGGTGGCTTATGATGGATGGATGGGTTGAGTGGGAGGCAGGGCTGGGGGTACAGGGTGATAGGCAAAAGGTGAGCTGACAAGAGGGAGGGTGGGCTAACCAGCAGGCAAGTTGTGTGTTCCAAATGTGGCCTCCCCAGACTACTCAACCCACTAATCTCAAACACTGCCACCACCCTTGCTCCTTAATCTTGTGGAGGGCTGGTTTGATGACTTCATCTATGCAAGCTGGCAAGTGTGTGGCAATCATTCCCTGTCAGTGTAACATTTAGGATAGGATGATGTGTGCATATGTACACACAGAAGCCAACTAAATAAATAATTTGCAAAATGAAATAATTTTATTGATTTTTAAAGTCTCTGTTGCAGGCAATAAATTCATGGTTGCTATTGTCTGTGGGCCTCTGCCTTCTATAGTAATCCTTTCTTCCCTTAATTCTGTGTTGCTGAACATATTGCAGTCATTAGCTAGTGTCAGCCCCGTAGCCAGGAAATTTTCGGGGGGGGGGGAATTTGGGATTGGGGGGGCGTTGTGCCATCATGTAGAGTGGGGCAGTGACAGGGGCCAACGGGCAGCCTGGGAACCAAAGCAGAGTCAGCCTCGCAAAACTGATTCAGAGGCAACGGCTGGAAGAACACTGGACATGCAAGACCCCAAGTGCAAACCCCAGCGCAATCCGAAGCAGTCCGAAAGCCACTTACCCTTCTGCTGCTGCCTGGCGTGTGGGGGCTCCATCCCTGGCAAAGCAATGGGGAGGAGGCAATACATTGGCGAGGTGGCTGGGATGGATGGGGCAGCTTCAACCTTCTCCCTCATTTCTCGGCCATTTTCCCCAGTGCAGCACCCTTGATTCCTCTGCCTGTCCCCACAACCTGTCAGCTCAGCCCTGGGCCTAGCGGCTCACATGGGGGGCCGCGTGAGAAGCACTTGCTTAAGGCAGGGCCTCGGCACACAGCCCCCAGCCCCAGGAGAGGAGGCCTGAAGCGGAGTAAGTACTTTCATGGCCAACTGCATTAGGCATTCCAGAAGGCAGGAAAAGGCTGCCTTGAGGGCAGTTGTCATCCAGGCGGATTTCTGACTGCGTCTTGCTGGCTGGCTGGCTCTGGGGCTCCCCATAAATCGCTAGGGGGCTCAGCCCCTAAAAACCCCACCACTGGCTACGGCCCTAGCTAGTGTGAACAAAACTCTAGCATCGAAACTGATATTCTTCCAGGAAAACCTGTTGTCTGGAAAGAACTTCAGTTACCTAAGAAGGGATTAGACTGAAAAATTATTATTTAAAAATGAGTACTAAAAATGAGAGGATGACTGTATCTTCTAAGGATGGTTTTTGAGCAGAGAAGTATTTAACCTTTCACCTGTCCACCTTTTCTGTGCTGCCTTCTCCCTTCCTTGCTAGCATTTGCTATGGAAGTTTCAGAGGTATCTTTTGAGAGGGGGAGTTGTAGAATCCTGGAAGGAAAAATGTGGTATCATGT